TACACATAATTTTATTAAAATTTTATTTAAAATATTAGCACTTGTGAAAGAAAAGACCCTGTGGGGATGGTCATGGAGGAGGAGGGCGAACTTTGCGGTGGAGCAGGAGGGAAGGGAGAATTACCGAGGGTCAGTAAAGGCAGAAGAATGCTGTTGCTGATGAAGATAATCATGGCCCTTTTCTTAACCATCTGGTTTTACTGGTCAGGGTGGCCTCTAGGAGTCTTTCGTTTTTCAGGAGATAACTGATTTTCAGCGTGTTTACTCCATTTGGTGGAGGAAAGTTGTTGAATGTCATTTAAACTTTACACGTAATTAAAATCTTCTAACTGTAGGAATTCCGTATCTATATAAAATTACTACTCTGAAAAAATTTTGTTTGTCAGATTATAGATTGTGGTCTGATTCAGAGAGTATTTCCGTGATTGTTCAAGGAACAGAAGAAACTGGTGAAGTCTGTGTGTAAACTTCGGGGGCTGTGGAGGACCTCCTGCTTCCGTTCATAACGCTCATTTACTTTTCATTCGTCTCTTCTGTTTAAAACGTTCATGCATTGAGAGACCTGATAGTCACAGCCACTCTAGTCTGAATGAGTCTGTCCTCTGTTTTACTAAAGATAAAGACACTTTGTGCACACAGCTGGCCATAGAGGAGGAAGGCCGGGATACAGCTCGACGCGGCGAGAGGTGGGGTTGGGCACCCAGCACTAACTCAGCATCCAGAGGACAGGACCGCTGATCCCATGGAGACCTTCTGCAGCTCGTATCAAATAATACTTAATCGCTAAATTGTGGGGAAAACATCTTGTTATGTTAGTTTTGAATAATAAATAAACTTTAAATAAGATGACAGAAAGAAATGAAGTTACTCTATATTTGTCATTTTCACCCCTTAAAACTTAAGTTATTCCAAGTCTAAGGCAAACTGATACAAAAGGACTACATGGCACCACTTTTCCAGTTCCTCAGAGAAATCTAAATTATGTCTTTACTGAAAAATGTATTTCCCTGGTCACTATTAACCACCAGGGTCTCTCTAGAAGGGGACCCGGGGAAACAACTGACATATGTAGTCATTATTTGGGGCTCCCTATATTGCTTTTGATACAGCCTGTGAAAACGGTCCTGGTCTCCGTTAACGCCAGCCTCGGTTGTGATGACGCAGCTTCCAGCGATCACTCAAGGTTGAGGTGATCCGTCCCCGTCCTGGACGTAAGGGTGGCAGGTGAGAGTGGGAAGAGACACGGCGTCAGCGCACAGGGCAGAGAGGCACATGGCGAGAACGG